CATTTGTTGTTTTTGCTGCTGCTGCTGATGTTATTTTTGTCTGCAATCGAATTGAAATAAATGCCCCTAATAGTAATCTTCCTTTAAATTTTGTAAATTTTGTAGATGTTGTTCTGTTTTGGAATGTTTTTTTTAAAAGGGTGGTAAATTTTTTGAGTGCCCTGGGCAGCACAAATGCTAGGTACATCTTTGCTAATATGTAATTGAATTAAATTTAAAATCAAGAAAAAGAATCATCATCATTACATTGAGTCTGCAAACTGCAGTTGGTGTGTTATGTTGGAAAACTTTGATCTGTCTCTTGCCATAATGACTAATCATTTCATGCTATAGTCAGACCATGTCTTGATGCTGTCTAACTATGTTGTACATAACCAAACTTCTGCTCATTTTTCGGTCATCTTCCCAGACTGGAGCAAAGCAAAAATTCATTCTCATCTCACCCTAAAACAGAATACTCAATTCTCACTTACAGTATCAAGTATAACACTTCAGTCTAGAGGTATTTCTACATTTTCATGAAAGAATTACCTGCCCTTTAACAAGTCTTGTTTTTAATCTTGCTAGCTGTCTAGTAATCCTCCTCTCCAGAAAGCTTAGTGTGGGGAACTGGTTTAGTAACTCAAAAATCCAATCATGCTGCTGGTAGTACTGGGTGTTATGAATAGTACCAATAGCACTTATAGCATGACCTGACAATATATATATATATATATATATATATATATATATATATATATATATATGATAAAATATTTGGGAGTAATCTTTGTTTTATGATTACCTCCCTTTTGAGAACTCTTTTGTCTATGTTGGTATCAATTATTCTAAGCAGAATAAAAATTCCTTAAGCCTACTCTTGCTCTCTTTTGTTATATATATATATGTGTGTATGAGTGTGTGTGTAGAAAATCTGCACAAGGACAAAAAAGGAGTTGGGGACAAATTCCCAAGAAATAAGAGGCAACACCAATATGGAGAACAATGCACCAACACTAAGAATCTCTAAGAACAACAGCAACAACCTCCTTCAACTCTGACAAGTTTTTTATTATATCAGTCTCCTGCTGATTGGCAAAAGAACCAGCCAATTGACAAACAGTAATTGTTTTAAAAACAGGTCACTTTAGCATCTATTTATTTCTTCTCACATGCAATATTACCCACAGCCCACCACTTCAATGTACAAGATCTTCCTTTCAAAAGTCTGGTGCAAAAAATGTGAGTTACCTTGAGTCTTTTCAACTATTCTTCACCACTATATATCTACAGTAACGGATTTTTTATTTATCAATCTGTCAGATTTTAATCTCTTTAAATGCCATTTTTAGTGGATATTCATGTTTGAGTAGACACTTGTTTTATTTATTAAACAGTATATTTATTTATTTTCATCTACCGACCTGAATATTCAAGAAATCTTAGGAAAGAAAAATATGCACTCTCCAACAGAATTCAAACCTGCATCTCTCTGGACAGAAGAAATCATCATTAAATTAGATCCATCGAGACTTAACTGACTTTGTCAGGGAGCAACTTTGCTGATCATGCAAAGTCTGAATAGTCTCTTTAAGCAAAATAGTTCTTGTCATAAATTCCTCAAAATAAATAAATATACTGCTTAATAAATAAATGAAGCATCTAATATTAGTATCCACTAAAAAATCACTTAAAGTGATAAATAAAAAATCATTACTTTAGAAAATTACTTTTGGCAAATGAAGCTGAGCAGATATGAAAATTTTGAGGAATTTATGAACAGAAGGATTTCACTCAAAGGCACTATTTGGACTTTGCTTGATTGGCAAGGCTGCATCATAGCCGAGTGGGTTAAGGCATAGCAGATTTAACAATAGTTTGCCTCTGCCTCAAAACAATTAATCAGATATCAAAACATATTTCAAAAACATAAGCAAAACTGTAATGACTTCTGATTTTTGTTTTCTGTTCATGTCTTCTGTTGCAAATTTAGTGCTTTTCCCATTTCATAATTGTTATTTTAATTTACATTCTTGATTAATTTGATGACAGAGGCATGCAACACCTAAAAACACACACCTAAACTGCTTGGGTGCTGGGGTCAACTTGTTAGTTCTAAAAATATACTTCTGGCAATCTGAATTATGTTCATAAAACAAATCAAATCTAGACTATCATATTTCTATCATGCATGCTGTCCAGCCCATTCAAAAATATCTTAACTATCAGATATATACAACCATTTTCTTGGATCAAGGTTTAAAAATGGCATTGTTATAAAATAAAATAAGACATATCTTGGCTGATTTACAGGCATATACACAAGAGCGAGAGCTGGATGTGAACGGGACAAAGACCCGTCACAAAATGACCATTATCTTCATTTACAAATGTTCCCGACACTCGAGTTATAATATTTAAAATGTTCTATTTTTCATCCAATAAAAATGCTTCCCTCCTAATTATACTCGCTTCGTTTTTTGAGCCTGTTAAGCCATAAAACACCACTATAAAAGGGGTCACATGGAAGTTCAACTAGCAGCCCACAGGTGCCCAGGATAGAGACCTGTCACGGTCAGGCCGAGTGTTCAGCAGCTGTCAGCAGGAGAGCACCAACCACCGTCAACATGTATGAACTACTATGAAAGATCGACCTAGATCCGAAGCCGGCTTATGAACTTTACCACAAGGTAGCTGTCCCAAACCCATACGTTCCTGTTGAAATAAACCACGTAAATCTATTTCTGCTGTTGTCGTATTTCTTTCTTGCAACCATACGCTTGTCTATAACAGCATCAAGAAAATTAAGAATATATCCTTCATCAGATCTCAGAGACTGGTGCTACAGAATCACAAACAAAGAACTTTACTGAATAAGAAAAGCACTTAAAAACTTCCAACAGCAGCAACAATTAACAGAGATAGCATTTGTAAGTTCGAAGGGAAAATGATGATATAATCCAAAAGTTCACACTATGTGAAACAGAGGGATAGAAAAGAAACTTAAGTCAACATGTGCTACCTGTTTTAGTTGTTGTAACTCTTCAAGTGATATGTCCTTTGTTATTAAAGAACTCTTCAAACGCATAGCATATATATCTGCAACTGGAAGTTCTTCTTCCTAAAGACTGCATAATAGCATGGAACCACTAGTCATTGAAGTATAAAGATGGTGATGATAAGTTCTTATTATATATACATATAGATCATATTTGTATACCTGTAATAGCATATCTAATGAATTTTATGAAAGGCATTAGAGAGATTAGCTAATTAGAATTTCAAGTGACCAATTTCTGAAACCATCTTTGAAATTCAAGGATTTTTTGTTTCTTAAATTTTGTTTGCTTTATTTTTTAAATTTTGGCAAATTTAAGATGAAGTTTCATGAAAAAAAATTTAAGAAAAAATTTCTAGGAAATGATTCTATCTTTGTAAAACTAATTATATGTAAAGGATAGGAAAAATTGTTTCACCTTCAAAAACTCTTTCTCTCATGCACAAACATACACAAGCACAAAGAAGGAAAAAAATAAAAAGTAAAAAAAAAAAATAATAAAATCTAGAAAAAGTCAAAAAAAAAAAAGATATTAAATTACACTGGGTTGAAGTTAAATGGAACGTTGCTTTGAAAAAATAATCGCCTTTTTAGGACCAATTGTGGAAGAACGGAAATGAAAAAATGTAATATTCTCTTCTTTTTATGAAAATCTATTTAAAAAAGTACAACCCACTAAAAATTTAGGGTACCGAAGGGTTCCACTTAAGTAGAATCCATTGGATTTGCATCTTTTTTTTTTTCATTTGTGGATTTGTGGCAGTTATTTTTATAAAGATGATGATGATTTTTCTGTTTGTATTTTTGTTTCCTTTTCTTTCTCTTTCAGATCTCGCTTCCCTCCACTCCTTTTCTCATGTGCCACTCTATTTTGTTGGGGCCTCTCATTTTAATTTTGTTTTTCTACACTCATCCTTTCTTTCTCTCTAAAATATTATACTTTCATTTCTCACTCCCTCGCTCTGTTTTTCTATTAATTTTACATTTTCATCTCTGTCTCTCCATTAAACTTATATTTACTTTGCTCTCTCCCCATTAAATTTTTCCTTTTTCTTTTTATCTCTCCCTTAACATTACATTTTCATTTCTCTCATTTTCCATTAATCTAAGTTTTTCTCTCTCTCACTCAATATATATATGTATATAAGCCATATTTCCCATCATATAAGAAACACTTTTTTCTCCAAACACTTCTTCCAAAATCAAACTCTATCTTATACTCCTGATGGTTAGGTTTGTTTTAGTATTGGGGTAACTTATTGGTCTGATATAAACACCAAACATCCCTAGTCATTTAATAAACCCTAATGAATTTTAGGTGTGAATTTTATTTAACAGGGAGGTGACATTGGATGGGGAATAATTTTTTTGCGATAAATGTCCTCTCAATAACAAAACACCAACTTTGGTAATAAGAAATTAAAAGTTCTATGTAATACTCAAGAGAAGTACTAAATCACTTGGCCCATTTTGGGAGTAGGTGTATAATCTGGCATGAATGAGGCCAATACACTGAAACCCTCAGACACAATCATTTCAATCAACCCATGTTATGATTTTCATACACTTCTCAATGTTGCCACATGCAGTGCTTGTCTCCCCAAGCTGACATTATCAAAAAGTCACCTGCCTGACAAAGTGAAAATAGTGAGATTTGAACCTGGTCTTACAGTCATAATGGTTGGCCAGTTGTTTTTGTTTAACAGCATATCAACCGCTATAGATTACTTAATACTGAAATCCAAGTATTTTGTACACAATTTATTTTGTTTTTTGAGATAATAAAGGTCTTAGTAATACTAGTTTTATTAATTAACCCAGAGCTGGGGCAAGAGGAGGTGGATTTATACCTTTCCCAAGGGTATTTGCATATAAGTGAATAAAAAAAACTGAATGTATTGTAACTCGGCACTCAGAGACACAATTCTATGAAATTATCTATTACACCACCTGCATATCCAAACATACAGTACCTGCTATTCCCAAGTGGTCACTCATCTTGGTACTAATGAGGCTAGATGTTGCTTAACTTTGGTGAATGTATGGGAACTGATGTTTCAACTTGATGTAGTCATAATTCCATAACATGAATTTTCCAAACATTCAGTTACATTTCTATTAGTACACACAGATATATTCACACACACACACACACAAGAGGGTATGGCACTGGTTTATACAGTAGGGATATGAGTCTTGGACATCAAGGTGGTAGAGGATGTCCATCTGCAAATGACGATCAACATCTGAAAACTGGTAAAAAAAAAAAACTCTGTCAAAGTCTTAGAGAAATGTCTCAGATAATGGGTATTAGTATTTCAACAATATTGGACCATTTCAAGAAAATTGGCAAGGTGAAGAAACATAATAAATTGGTTCCACATGAATGCAGTGAAAATAAAATCCTCAAGGACACATGGCACAGTGGATAAAGTTGTTAGTTGGATCCAGTGACAGGACCCAAAGAGTGTGAGTTCAATACCCAGTTAAGGCAGTGAAGAACTTGGAGAGGGGAATTAACAGGAGATAACTGATAAATGACATCCATTAAAAGATAGCACATGGAACTAGAACAGTCTACTCCAGTGAGTGAAATAAAGGGTTCAGTTCGACATTCCAACCACCTGAAGAAGGCCGTAGCATACAACAGCTGAAATATTGTAATAAATATGGCGATAAAGATGAAAACAATAGTCCAAATATTGTAAATAGTGTACATAATACCTCATCTCAGAAATATAGACAGATACTGAAAATCAAATTGTTTGACATTTTGAAGTTTGTTTGATGTTGCATCAGCAAAATTTGAATGGTCCATTTCTTGATCAAAGAGTGAATTGTGATGAGAAATGGATCCTTTATGACATTGTAAATGATTGGCTCAATAGGTTTTAAAACCAAAAGATTTTGTGCTGGAATGGAAATATCAAGTGAAACTACAAACTTCTCTTTAGCTCACTGCTGCAGGTTCAACTCTTCTTCTGACAATACCAACCTGGTAGTTCCAATCATAACTGATGTGTCTTTATATCTGTTTGTAATGTGTCTAAGAATGTTCTTAATGAGGCAAAGTTGCTACTCACTGATAGAAATTTGGTTTGGTTCATCTTACGGCATATCGACCTCAATGGGTCATTTCATGCCGACAAAATTTTTATTGTTGGTAATATTTTGTTTTGTCAAAAATCTATTTCTGGTAATATTTTTCCTTTAAAAATGTATAACTGGTAATATTTATTTTTTAAATCATTGTTGGTAATATTTTTTCAAAAATTTATTGCTGGTAATAGATTTTTTTTCTTCAAAAATTTATTGCTGGTAATAATTTGTTTTTATAAAGTATTTCTGGTATTAAAACCTCTTTTTACACTTTCATAGTGTTTTTACCCCAGTTTAGGGGTTAACTATTTGCTCATAGCTGGAACTCTAACAGGTGCTACCACCCCAGGTCAGGATGGACCTGGGAACATCAGCAATTAAGAGGTGGTTCCACGCTCCTCAAAACCTCCTGATCAGAGGCCTTGCTGCTGGACGTAGTTTATCATCTTATCCAGGATGCCTACTCATTGAGAGAATCAGACACTGTTGCAACTTTGGCTCCAGAGATTACTGGTAGCTCTGTAAGAATGTGTGAGACAAGAGTAAATGCTCAATCCCTCCTCTATTCAAACAGTTTGGACGATTGTTATCTGCTGCTGATAAAGAAGAATGCTTGGCTTGGAAATTCTCTTCAAACTCCACTCTCAGCTCCTCAGGAATATGTTTGATATTCCCTAGAATGGAATCTCAACTCAGTGATGTATATATAACTCTGTCTATGGTTTCTGCTGTGATCATCTCTAAACTAGGTCCCCAAATGGTTTGCAGATAGTATCCCTATAACAGCCTTTAGAAAATGTGCTCCTGAACTGGCACCAGTTTTATTCAAACTCTACACTAAATATCTAGCTGCTTCTTGCTTTTCATCTTGTTGGAAATCCTCTTTTGCAGAACTCTGGTGAACTTTCTCAACCCTCAAATTATCATCTTATTAGTTTTTTTATCTCTTTTGGGCAAATTACTAGACGCTCTTATCAACTCTGAATTGGTTAAGCATCTAACTTCACCTGGCCTTCTTTCAGATAAACAATATGGTTTTCATTTCTCAAGGTCAACTGCTATATTAACAGTTATTATTAAATTTGTCTATCTAGCTGTAGACGAGAACAGCTATAGCTTTAGATATCTGGAAGGCATCTGAGGAGGTTTGACATGCTGGCCTTCTTCTCAAGCTCAGTGGCTATGCTTTCTCTGGCCTGATATTTGACTTAATTTAATTGTTATTAATAAATCAGGTAATGAAGTAATATTTACTCCTATTTTAATAGTAAATCCAATAGGTTTGATAAAGTAAAACTGGTAGCTGCTCTCGAAAATGACCTCCAATCAGTTGTAAGAAATAGATTGTCAATTTTAATGCCTTCAAAACAAAACTGCTATCCTTTAATCATAATAGGGAAGTGTTTTTGTTCTCCATTAGCTTGGATGATGAAAAACTCTGAGACAGCGACTCATTGCACCTCTTTGGTCTCACATTTTTTACTTGCATGAAGTGATTATTGAATCAATTATGAGACTGTGGTCAAGAAGATTGGTTCACTGAGTTGTGCGAGAAAATATTTTTCTTGTCAGAAAGCATTTTACACATTTATGAATGTACCATTCTTCCGTTAATTGAATATTGCTACCAAACTTCACCTGTTTCTCTGGCTATAAATCCCAAGATTCTTGACAAAATCCAAAGAAGAGTTTTTAATGTTATTGGTCTTGAGCTTGCATCTCAACTTCAGCGAGATGCAAGGTCAAGACCCTAACATGGTTTCCTGTGACTTTCCTATAAATATTTACATAGCAGTTATTCTAATGAGCTCTCTTCTTTGGAACTCCAAATGTGTGAATTTAAACGTATTACTAGATTAGCAATTAGGTCTCATCAATTTATTGTTGAAATAGCTGGATATGGCCATATGTTTTATTCTAATAGCTTTTCATGCACTTCTCACCTATGGAACTCTTTTAGTTTCTTGCTTCCCTGCCATCTGTAATATTAAAAAAATTAAATGCAATGTCAATCGCCATCTTCTGTCTTCTTGAAACCTCTTCTTTTATTGTCCTTTCTCGTTTATAAAGTCTTCCAATTCAAAATGTACACTCTCAGTAACCCTTGCATCTTATCATCTTGCTTGGAATGAGATGATTAAAAACAACAAAACAGAATGGCATTCAAAGATTTCTTGGCATCCATAAATTTAAGTTTTTTTTGTAAAGGCATCAATAACCTTGTAACTCAATGGTAAAAATTTATACCTGTTCAGGATTCATATTTTGACTAAGTTAAACACTGTTTCAGGAATAAAAATTTATTCTAAAATTTGGCATTATTTATCCAGACAATTTAATATGAAGATATTGGAAAATATCACTAGAGATGGCGACTTAGTATCTTTTATGTGGCTGTGAATGTTTACAGATAGAGAAAAGATTTGAAATGAAGTAACAGAGATGTGGTCCTTTATTTTAGAGGTCAAGTTCTTATAGAAGCCATTATATCCAATGAAGGGTCTCATTTGTCTATGAAACTTTGTGCTAAAATGTTTCAGCATGGTAAATGAAATAGACACAGTATTGTCAGACATGTGATTTTACTCATTTATGAAAACACTTAGATATTTTTTGACAGCATTAAATTCACAAGTGAAACAACCACATTTCATCATAAAAATGTAGTCGACTATAAACATTCATCCCTTACATTTTTCTTTATTTTTATTATCATAATTATTATTCTTATTATTATTTAATCTATCTATCTATCTATCTATATATATATATATATAAATAAAACAGGATTTGTGTGTCTGTGTGATACCTTTTCACTTGAGATCCATCTGATTTTGACCAAACTTAGCATATATATTGTACAATGTAAGAGACAGGGTCTTAGCATAAAAAATCAATAATTTTTTTAAAAATCAACAATCGATAAAGCCGATCAAATATTGATAAATTCAACTTTTTTCCTCCGATTTTGTTCACACTCAGTATGTAGGTCACTTACATCATGATGAGCTCAATGGTACCTCATTTTTATTATTACACCACTGCATTTACTGAAAAGTCACAAAAACAAAAAATCAATGTCAACACAAATTTTAAACTAAAAACTCCCTCAATTTTCAGGCAATCTAATACAAACTTACTTCACTCAATTGTAGCCAACAATAAGTTGATTGTTTAACAGTCATTTTTGATAATTGAGTCCTCCCATAATGTGAAAACCCATGTAAATAGCGAAAAATGGCAATTTTTACTGGTTTCTTTCTTATTTTTTGTTGAACTTTCAACCAATTTTCATCAAACTTAACAATTACTTTATAAATGTATCCTCTTTTACATCCCTGGTAACAAATTGACAAATTGAATTTCAAAATCTCCAAAATAATTGTGGTCTGAAGTCGGTTTCCTGTTGTCCGTTTTACCCCTTCATGTCCTTGGTGAACTTCGATTGAATAAACACAGACTAATTCTGTTATATCAATAACTGCATTAATTCAAAATGTTTTTTTTTTAATGAAAGTACTTTAAAGTAATTGAAGAAGATAGACTCTATTACATCTAAACATGATGCTGTTTTTGCTCCATTCTAATTGAACGTTTTTCTGATCAACCAGCTTGGTATGGCTGCTAGTAATTATTATTATTATAATATTATTATCAGAATTATTATTATTACTATTGATTTTTTATTATGAATTATTTGGCTACTTGCACTAGTTACTTGGACATGGCAACAGAGATGAGAACAGTCTGAACAATGTAAATAGTTACAATACATTATCTCAGAAATATAGACAAATATTGTTATTTATGTATTATCATTTTTAATTTATTTTATTTAGTTATTACTATTTTAAATTTATTTATTTTACTTTTTCATTATATTTTGGATTTCACTACTTTTAAAAATCAGTGAAAAAGAAACTCAATCATCTATTATTCACGGCTGGAATTAGATCATTTTAT